ATTTTTTCTTTGGCTGAATACAAATTCAGTTTCCACACACTCATTTATTATTAAACTCGGATATTTCTTATATTAATATTGATAACACGATACATGATCAAGTGCTTTATGTTCTAGGGTCGACTAATTTTAGTGTTGACCTACGTATACATAATTATCATCAAATGAAGTTTTTACGCGAAAACTTTTTATAATATCAAATTACTGTGTAAACTTTGGTCTTCGCTTGAAAAAGCAAGGGAAAATAAAACTCTGATAGAATCATTATTTTTATTAAATTAATCTTTAATAAACTTTTAAAAATAAAACCGTTGTCTTTATTTTCTTGTTTAAGGCGCTTTAATAAAAGCAACAAGTGTAGTGCCTTGGCAAAAGATAACAATTGTGGAGCATGGGTAAAAATCACGTTTTATTTGCAAGCAAGGCTAGGATTAACGTTGGTTAACTAGTGGCGTTAATGAAGTATTGTCCAATGGTTAATTGAAAGTAATGGTAGTATTATTAGTATTATTGTAATCGTAAACGTAAGGTTGTTAAACAAGCTACTGAATTTATAAACCAAAACAATATAAACAAGGATAAGCGACTGAAATAAATCGATTGCAAATGAATAAAAGGAAGCCTTTGAGCTTTGTAAAAGAGGTGATAAGAAAGAACTAATTGACAAGCACTGAATTGCTAGCAATTAATTGACAAGAGTAGCCCAAAAGTTAAGCCGTAATCGGCATTAACCAAAGAGCTACCCTAAATATCACCATTTAACAAGGATAAAATTTTATTACTTCAAAATTTAGAAATGAAATAAAAATAAAATGAATTTATACTGGAGATTAAATTAGTCATTCATTGATTCTTTCTTTTAATTACTAGAATCTAATGTTTATTAATTAAAAAATATTGTTAGTAATAATTAATGGATAGCAATTTCCAATTAATTAATAATGAAATTTTGTCCACCTTCATTAAAACCAAGGTTATTTAACAAACTATCATTACTAGCATAACTTTTTAAGCTTTTAGATTTAGCAATCTCTTCATCTAATATTCTACTTGTATGGTATGCGTCTGGATGTGGTTTGTGTACTTGTTGTGAACCACCACCACCACCAGCAGTAGTATTATTATTTTTAAAAACTTCACTATGCTTATTTTTAGCAAAGACAAAAAGCTCTCTCCAATAGTTGGTCTTTTTGATGGATCCACATCCCAACACTTCTCCATCATTTGTGCATAATCATCAGGCATTTCAGGTAATATTGGTGGTCGTAAACCTTCTTCACATATATCAAAAATTAAACAGTGATCATGAGCTCTATCATCAAATGGTGGATGACCTGCAAATATTTCCCACATTAACATCCCAACACTATAGATATCTGATTC